GAAACATCTCTAAGGTATAAAATTAACAGCAATATGCATAAGAGATGGAATGTATTTCACTCCAAAGTTGTACCCTCTGACTTGACAAGGCTTAGACTTCAACATCTTAATGCCTTGTGACTTTGACCTTTGAGGTATGACCTTGAGCAAAGATTATGGCACTCCTTAGGGTCATGGGCAACAATACAACCAAGTTTGAATCCATATTAATCAAACACATGTGTATTTCAGATTTAAAGCATAGACATTAATTCTGAAAGACTGACAGACAACTGTGTTAAAACTAAAACAGTTGATATGCCACCTCCCTTTTTGGTGAGACGTAAATAAGTCCATGCAGATCAGTGGACATTTACTTTGTATCAACTTTGAGTATCATACGAACAAGCTGTCACTTATTTTTTTAAGCCATCAATTTTTTTTCAGTCAAATAATTTCTATTTTCAGTGGATTTTTCTGGCTGTTATCACTTCTAGTATCCTCTATACTGTGGTATGCTGTGGTCCCTCTGAGAGAACAGCTGGTATTTGGACTGGTTTTCTCAGTTCTTTTTCAAGAAGCATTCAGACTTCTTTTCTACAAACTTCTGAGGTAAAAACATCACATTGTTTGTTTTTTTAAGGAACATCGTTTTCAAAGACCAAACAGATTGTATCTTTAAAATCATATACGTAAGTACCATATATATTCTATTTCAGGAAAGCTGATGATGGCTTGCAGAAAGTTAGCCAAACTGGCCAAGAAATGCACATGACTCCCAGGGATATTTCAAACAAACATATAATGGCATATGGTAAATAAATTTATATGAAGCTAGTACACGTACATGAAAGTTCTCTGTTTATGAATGTTTCAGTAGAATCATACAGCAAGATATAATTAAACATACTACATTTATACCAAAAATGCCCCAAAAAAAGGAATAACAGCTTGAAATAATAAGAAATGAATATACAATTGTAATGAAGTGATTCTGGGTGTCATGTGGGGTTAGTGGTACATTTGTAACTGATCCTCCTATTATATAAGAACTCATCATATTTCCATTTTAAGTTTGGTGTTGAAGAAGGACTATACCTGTACATACAAGTACCTGTTATTCCTCTTTGATAGTCTATTAATTTTTTTTCAGTGTCAGGCCTGGGGTTTGGCATACTCTCTGGTGCTTTCTCAACCGTCAATGTGTTAGCAGATATGGTTGGTCCAGGAACCATTGGTATCCATGGAGATTCAAAATATTTCTTTGTAGCTACAGGTAAATTTCAAATGTTTACCACTTCGTAGTCTTATTGAAACTAAACTATCAAAACTGTTCCCTCTCTTTTTTTCCTTTCTTTCCATTGATAATTAAATAAGGGAAGGCACTGGCTGTTACCTGATTTACTACTCTCATACAACAGTGAAACAAAAACAAAAAAAATCAATGTTCAAAAATAGGGGAAAAAAAGCTTTATAAAGAAATTATGCATGTAGCTATTTATGTTTAAAACTTGTAGCTATTTATGTTTAAAACTTATTTATGTTTTAAACTTTCAAAATGCCATTTTGAATACAAGATAATGGCAATATGAGAGACATATGAACTAACATATAATTACAAGGTGTATTTATGATAGTACTCTAGATTTTTACGTATTTATCTTTGCAGCTTTTCTCACCCTTAGTTTTATACTTCTCCATACTTTTTGGGGCGTAATCTTCTTCAATGGACTCGACAAAAAGCGGTACCATATGGTGGCGCTGGTTGTGGGAACTCACATGCTTATCTCATGTCTGGTGAGTGGATATGTTTACATGCAGTGTACTGTAAATCACTTTTTATTCGGGTGAACTTTATTTTCGCGTAATTACGTGAGATAGTGTGCTCGCAAAAATTTTATTCACACCTATATTAGTATTCCTAAGGATTATATAGAGCAATAACCATAATTCGTGAAAATTTTATATCTGGCTCATTAAGAGTAAAAGACTATCTCAGGAAAATTTAGTGATCTACAGAATTAAAACACTTGATTAACTGATCAATGATTTAAAATACTTATCCCCTTTAAATCTCTATGCTTGTATTTTTTTTGTAAATTTTGTCCTGTGTGAATTTTAAAATCTTATCTTTCTTTTCTTGGAAAAGATTTTAAATGTTCACTTAAATAATAAGTGTCGGTACCCATACAATAGAAATGTGCATTTTGGTCCAATGTTGTTTGTATTCAGGGCTCAAAATATTTTTTTTCACTGTTACTTGGCTATCAACTTAAATTTTTACCAGTCAATTGATATCTTTCACTATCCATTGGGCTAGTAGATTTCTACTTTTCATGTAATTTGTTGCACCTTGGTGACACAGCATTAAGAAAACATTACTATGATTATTTTGATCAAGACAACTTATTCTCAGAAATATTCATTTTTTGAATTTAAAAAACAACCTAACAAAATAAGGAATTGTTTGCATCCAAATAGAAGTCAATAAGCACACAAACATGTCTACCAGTAGTTAACTAGGCCCGATTGTGAATTAATTTTAATATGCATAAAATAATTACTGATCCAAAGGGGATGTGCTCTCTACAATACAAAGCACTAACTCTAGTCCAAAATTTACTGGTCTCAGACCAGTGGGCCATCAGTTATTTTCAGCCCTTATACTTCACAAGAACATCTGGGCAATGGCCCAGAAGACATTTCAATACAATGTACATGTGTTACATTATAGTCGAACCTTGTTATCTCAAACTCCATGGAACCGAGAAAAAAAACTTTGGAGATTTGAGATACTAAAGTCCAAGTGTATTTAAAATAGTAGACATTAATTAAATGATAAATTTGGTTTTTGATTTGTAGACCCTCCTGAATCAGAGGACCTCCTCCCGTGACAGTCCCCTGTATCTGGCCAGTATCCTCCCAGCTTACTTCCTCACAATCATCATGGGAATCATTGCGTACATCACTGCAGGGGGATCGCTAGCGAATATCAAGAGTTGCATGCCTTGTGGCAATGCTCGCAAATACGAGATTGAATAAACTTGGGGATCCTAGCCAAATCATGAAAGCTAAAAACACTATCATTGTCTCATTATTTGTATTTTGTCTGTCCTGTACGTTTTATATGTCATTTTTTAGGGGAAAAATGTCATAAAAAAATAAATTCAAACAAGTATTTGTGGTACTCCTGTGTTCATTTTATTTGTATTCATTATTAAGGCTGTAAAAATACATCGTATATTCAATGGAATGCAGAGAAGGTTCATACAATACATAAAATGAAGTACTGGTATAAGCAAAATTTTTAGCGAGGATTCAGTTTTGGCATTACATGTATTATTGATAGTTCTGAGATCGCTTAAACTGAATATCACTAACAATTTATTCAATATTGGTTGTTATAGTTATCTCTCTTGAAATTATAAAAAGTATATAATGCAAAAATGTTGGTTTTAAAATGAGAGTACTGGCAGTATTTGCAAAAACAGCAATAGTAGCTTGGAACAAAATCCAAAGTCAAATTTATAAAGTTAAAAGTTTTATTTTTTTTTTTATTTTGCGTCCTTGAAAGTATTGGAAACAGATTTGTTGATAAAGAAATGCAAAAATCTACATTTTCTTTAAAATCAAAATATGATGATGGAGAAACTGGTCCATATAAGAACTTGAAATCATGATATAGTGCTTTATTTTTATGCCCCCATAATCGAAGATTTGGGGGCATATAGTTTTTACCCTGTCCATCTGTCTGTCTGTTTGTCCACAAAAACTTTTAACATTGCCCATACCTTTTGATTGGTTTGAGGTATGGCTTTCATATTTCACATTTGTATTCCTTGTGATAAGACCTTTCTTTGGGTACCATCATATTTGACCTCGGAGTTTGATCCAGTTTCGCAAAATTTTACCCAACTTTAACCTTGGCCATAACTTTTGAACGGTTGGTGCTAGGGCTTTCATACTTCACATGTGTAATCCTTGTGATAAGATCTTCCTTTGGATACCAACAACTTACTTTGACCTTGACCTAGGAGTTTGACCTACTTTTGAAAAACTTTAACCTTGGCCATAACTTTTGAATGGTTGGTGCTAGGGTTTTCATGCTTCACATATATAATCCTTGTGACAAGACCTTCCTTTGGATACCAACAACTTTGACCTTGGAGTTTTACCTACTTTTGGAAAACTTAAACATCAGCCATAACTTTTGAACGGTTGGTGCTAAGGCTTTCATACTTCACATGTATATTCCTTGTGACAAGCCCTTCCTTTGGATACCAACAACTTTGACCCATTGACTTTGACCTTGAAGTTTGATTTACCTTTGGAAAATGTTAACCTTGGCCATTACTTTTGAATAGTTGGATCTAGGGCTTTCATACTTCACATATGTAATCCTTGTGACAAGACCTTACTTCGGATACCAACAACTTTGACCCTTTGATCTTGGAGTTTGATCTACTTGTGGAAAACTTTAACCTTGGCCATGAATTTTGAATGGTTGGTGCTAGGGTTTTCATGTCCTTGTGCGAAGGCCTTTCCTTGACCTTGATGTTTGACTTATGTTTGAAAAATTTTAACTGTTTCCATATCTATTCAATGGTTGCTGATGGGGCTTTCATATTCCACAGGTATATTCCTCGAGACAAGACCTTACTTTGGGTATATATGAAACATATGAAACATTCTAACAATTTGTTGAGTACTGAATTCAGAGGACAGTAATTTTATTGGTAAAATATTACATGTATATCAATAAATAACAGAATCAGCCATCACTATCACTGCTGGATGATTTTCTTCTATGTTTGCGCTTTTTGTGTTTCTACAATGTAAAAAGAGTGGAAATACCATCATTAGCTTATCTTGCACTTGAAATATACAGTAAATGTGAAACTTAATGTACATGCTTTGTCTTTAAGGTCAAGATCTAGTATTGAATGAAAGGTGCCTTTTTTAGCTCACCTGAGCCGAAGGCTCAAGTGAGCTTTTCTGATCAAAATTTGTCCGTTGTCTGTCATCGGCGTCGTCGGCGTCGTTGTTGTCACGCCCTCCTCCAAGGGGAGATAATTACGAAATAGCAAAAAATTAATGGCATTATTGAAAAATCTTCTTCTCAAGAACCAGTGGGCCAGGAAAGATGAAACTTATATGGAATTATTGTCAGGTAGTGTAGATTCAAGTTTGTTCAAATCATGACCCCCGGGGATAGGGCGGGGCCACAATGAACGATCAAAGTTTTACATAGGAATATACAGGAAAAATCTTCAAAAATCTTCTTCTCAAGAACAGCAAAGCTATGATTGGTCATATTTATTTGGAAGCATCCCCAGGTGGTGTAGATTCAAGTTTGTACAAATCATAACCCCCGGGGGTAGGGTGGGGCCACATTGGACGATCAAAGTTTTACATAGGAATATATAGGAAAAATCTTCAAAAATCATCTTCTCAAGAACAGCAAAGCTATGATTGGTCATATTTATATGGAAGCATCCTCAGGTGGTGTAGATTCAAGTTTGTTCAAATCATGACCCCCGGGGGTAGGGTGGGGCCAAAATGGACGAACAATGTTTAACATAGGTGTACATAGGAAAAATCTTCAAAAATCTTCTTCTCAAGAACAGCAAAGCTATGATTGGTCATATTTATTTGGAAGCATCCTCAGGTGGTGTAGATTCAAGTTTGTACAAATCATGATCCCCGGGGGTAGGATGGGGCCAAAATGGACGATCAATATTTAACATAGGTGTACATAGGAAAAATCTTCAAAAATCTTCTTCTCAAGAACAGCAAAGCTATGATTAGTCATATTTATTTGGAAGCATCCTCAGGTGGTGTAGATTCAAGTTTGTACAAATCTTGACCCCCGGGGGTAGGGTGGGGCCACAATGGATGATCAAAGTTTTACAAAGGAATATATAGGAAAAATCTTCAAAAATCTTCTTCTCACTAACAGCAAAGCTATGATTGGTCATATTTATGTGGAAGCATCCTCAGGTGGTGTAGATTCAAGTTTGTTCAAATCATGACCCCTGGGGGTAGGGTGGGGCCACAATGAACAATCAAAGTTTTACATAGGAATATATAGGAAAAATCTTTAAAAATCTCAAGAACAGCAAAGCCACGGTTTGTCATATTTATTTGGAAGCATCCTCAGATAGTGTAGATTCAAGTTTGTTCAAATCATGACACCCCCCCCCCCCAACTCCCTTTTTAGGGGTAGGTTGGGACCACTTATGCATTTAAGCTTTTCAATACTAAACTGATTTTTCCTTTTTTCCTAGCCACAGTGCTCAGGTGAGCGATGTGGCCCTTGGGCCTCTTGTTTATGATACTTTACCGCTTGGTAACTTAAGGTGCATCAGAGTAATTTAATAGGTAAATACAACAAAACAAAACAAAAAAACATTTTTGACAGTGTCATTTTCAATGAAAAAGGAAGACAACTAGTAATAAATTTGGGAGTTTTTACCATACCAGACAAAGGAAATGTATCCAGATTGCCTACAGTCTCTCAGAAAATGGTAATTTATGTTCTTGACCTCTTCTTTTAAAATAATATTAAATTGGGATAACTTTTAACATGATACCAAATTGAATTGCATGAAAATGCTTTCATTTTCTACATAATTAAATGGTAGCCATAAAGTAAGGGATAAAGTAGGTTTAAATTGATTATAACATCATAATAAATCCATCATTAAAAAAAAAAACAGTACAAACCCATTTACTAGACCTTGCCCTTAAATTAATGATGTAAATTATTAGATATATTTGATATATGGAGTTACATGAATTTCTGTGAGATTTTTTTTGCTGTGAATCATTCAGCTATCGGAGAACATTCTACCTTGTGACGAGGACTATCATCTTCAGATTCTGTACTTGAATTTGCATGGTGCCGCTTTTTAGCTTTCTTTGATTTCTTCTCTTTTTTGTTTTTCTATTTAAAAAGAAAAACGATGACTACCATGTATTTCATTCATATCATTTGAAATAAATTTCAAAAGAATGAGGGTGCACTTGATTTGGATTTGGCATGAATTTGGGGACAACTGAAAAGCAAAAATTTTAATGATAATTATAACATGCTTTTTTTAAGCATTCTAATGATAAATCATGTTCCTGTGATATGGAAAAGGGGAATATTTTCCTGACACAGTGCTTGATTTACTAAAGTATGCAATGAAATATGGCTAGATGAGTCGATCATTTGGTAATTATTTGTAACATGCCATTTGATTGGATAGAAAAATGTGTTTATATCATATAACTTGTGTTGCCTACGTCACAATGACTTTGAAGGCTTTTTTTGAAGGGAAAATTGTCTTATTTTTAGATTAGTGATAGAAAATGAAATTATAAGGAATAATTTAATGGCTACCCAAGTTATACTTGTATAACCTGAGTTGAAACAATTCACGTTTTATAGATTCGGTTAAACTGCTCAATGCAGGTTATACAGTATAACTTGGCTAACTATTAAATTCATCCCTTAACAAAATGTTATATGATAACAAAATGTTACATTATAAACACATTTTCCTATAAATTTGATATCTCTGGGTCATCTCTCTACGGTACACACCTTTTTCTTGGATTTTGAAGATTTGTGCTTTGTTTCTTTTCCTGGGGAGGAGAGAACTTCATCATCATCTGGAAGTAAGTCATATGACTTCCCACCAGCAACATGAAAGCAATCCTGGGCTAAGTGACCTACAAAAAAAAAAATAGTTATCGTTCATTCATTAAAAGATATATTGCAGAGAGACATTGCCTTCAAAATGGTTCCTCAAATTAATGAAACTGTGAACTTTATCATTCATTAAATGTATGAGAATGAATCTGTTTGATTGCTGTGTAAATTTCTGTACTGTGAAAAACCCTTTAAAGTTACAGTTTGGTGTTAAGACAACAATTTAAACAAGTTTTAAGCAAGTTCAATATATATCAAAGTAAACCTGAAGAAAAACAGTGGTACTATCGGTACATGTACTTATTTCCTCAAGGTATTACTGATTTTAAATACTGGTACCTGTACATGGCATTATTTCACCAGAGTAGTATTAATATTAAATACTGGTACCTAAGTAGAGGTATTTCATCTACTACAGTAAATAGTTATTACCATGACCACCACATTTTTTACAGGTGGTGTCTAGGACCGCTCCAAGTTCTATTTTTGGCCTCTCTCCTTTGTGAAACTTCCTGTTTTTCTGTAGATCCATTCTGAAATTAAATAAGACCCAGAAATTGAAATATACTATTACCATTTACGATTCTGACGAGGTCTTTACATAACATGGACACTCTGACAGTAGGTTACCATTAATAATATTTTTAAGGACTACATTATACACACATTGATAATTTTGAAAAAAAATGACAAATTCATGAGGCTCCATAGTATACTCTTATTAATAATGATGACCTTTTGACCTTGACCTTTGATCAAGTAGCCTCACAATCTACAGGGGTCTCTTTTGTGAAGAAAATAAGAAGTGAATATGCTGATTTGGACTCCTTTTTTAAATACAAAAAAGTGTGCCTGACCTTTGACCCTTGACTTTTGAGCAAGTAATTAGCTGTCCTTTACAATGTATAGTATGAAGTCTTTTGAGATTTCAAAATGTTCAAATGATTTAATTATTGCATCACAATGACCACATGAATCACCTCACCCATTAAGCAACCATTCTCCAAACATGAACTATATATGAGAAATGTAAAGTGTCCAATTTATTGCATCAAATCAAAATATCTTGAGCTATTACCCTGACCTTTGACTAAGTGACCCCAATTATGGGTTTCTTCCTTTAATCTTTCTTCTCCTGTGCAGTAAGAATGAAGCTTGCAAACTTAGGAAAAAAAAGTTATACCATAAGAGAAAGTGTAATGATGATCCATGCAATATTTGACTTTTTGACCTTAACCTTTGACCTAGTGACCCAAAAATCTGTGGTGTCTTCCTTAGGCTCTCTTCTACCTATGTTGTAAGTATGAAGTCTGTAGTGTGAAGGTACTCAAGTAATTCAATCACATCAAGTGTTCCAGACAGACAAAAGGTTACTAAAGGGCACCTATCTTAAAACTGAACATGACTCCTAAATAGGCATATGCCATATTAGTTTTCCTATCTCTGATATCAGCACTGGGGTATATCCTTTGCATTTGTTACACCTGACTGCTTTCTTGTCAAGGGTACCTGCATGGAATGGATGACACATGTTCATATTGGTTATTTTACATTACGTTTGTTTACATTTTATTGCAGTTTATGTGTATTTGTGTTTGTTTGTACTGCACTGACCTGTGCAACTGATGTAAGTTTCTTTTCCAACTTTCTCTTTTGCCATAGAAGAAGGCACACAGTTACTTTTGTCACTTATGAGAGTTTTACAATAGCTATGTAGAAAACAAGTGTAAATTAATTACACTGAACAGAGACCGAGTGAATGGCTTATATAGGGGCTGTACAGCTAACAGAAAATGCAGAGGCAAACAACACAGATCTCTGCCTTTTACGAATCATGTTCAGCTTTATTGCAGGGCTCTATTTACCAGGTCTATACTATACCACACTTACGAGGACTGTACATTTGCTGAATCTTCATCTCGACCTGTAGTCTGATTGACTACCTTCATAGACAAACCTATTTTATTGTTCTGTAAAAAAAGGTAATATTATAATTTACATTAATTTCATTTACAGAATTCATAGTACCTATTGTTAGTATTTTCAATATTGTATTTACAGATCCTTTTAGATGCTAGAACAGGGGGGCTGAGTTTGAATCTTGATGTAGGAATACATTATCTTCAAGTTGGCATTGAACAGTATATCAACTCAAGATTATTACTAAATATGAGTTATAGGTTGACAATTAAGGTTAAAATGTACAATTTGTATTAGAAACATTTCCTTGTCACAGCATCTGCTGAAGTCTTTCAAGTCGATGTCATCAGTCAAACACTTTTCCCTTGAAAAAAAATACAGTCAAACCTTGTTATCTCGAACTTGATGGGTGCAAGAAAAAACTTCAAGATATTCGAAATTCAAGATATCGGGGGTAAAATACTTAAAGAATAAGTGGTCAGGACTTCTAAATCACTTCGACATATTCATGGTATTCAAGATATCAGTGTTCGAGATACCAAAGTTAAACTGTATTCTGTGGTCATATATACATGTAAAGCATACTTACCTCAAGTGAAATAACTTTGCAATACACTTTTTCTCCAGTGGCCAGCATCTCTGAAGGATCATCAACTCTTACTTTTGACATCTGAGATTTGTGAACTAATCCTAAAAAGAACAGGGAAAATACATTAAAAAAAATAGTGAATTTTGTACGGTGGTCGATATCAGCCTGTACATATTCCGAATGGTATTGAAATTTGTACATCTAAAATGTATATTCATTGACATATACATTTTGCAATGGCAATGCACACTTCATGCTCTTAATATTGTCTGTACATGTACAAAATGGCAAAAAGGCAAGTGCCAAAAAGTGGATGCAGAAAACACAAACTATTTTAATTAAAATTCCTGGTCGGAGAAGACCATTACATGTAATATGAATTAAATAAAATCTTACAATGGCACTGCATATGGAAAGAGTTTAACTACAATAAAGGCTGTAAAATTTTCAAAGAAAATAATCTAAACTATGGCAACCTACAATTTACAGTCAATCTTTTTTAAAGATATTTGTAGAAACAATTTCAATTGGTGATTTTGTTATTTCATAGACTCTAAGGAAGCTCTCATCACTTATGAAAATTTTTTATCAGACATTGCAAAAATATAGTCATATAAAGAGTGTACACAGAGTTTACCTAATAACTGTAAACGTGGTTATATTGAAAGGTTGAAAGTTTGACGATTTTGATGTTTTAGTAAAATGATGAGTGAAAACTTTGACGGTATGATAGCATTTTACAGTGCTCTTTAACAAGAATATGAAAGTTGACGAGTGGAAACTTTGACAATTTTAAGTCATTCGTCAACTTCGTCAAAGTTTCCATGACGTCAAAGTTTCCACTTTTACAGTACATGGTACATGAATTGAGAAAATATATGCAGATAATGTTTTCCATTAATTTATCCTGGTCCTAAGAGTATATAAGAGTGTTAAGTGTACTTTAATCAGATCACTGCAACTTTGTAAAACTACCATTGAATCAGAACTCTGTAGTAAGCAGTGTTTTAATTTGCTTTTTATACCCCCCCTCCCCCCCACTTGAAAAGAGGGGGTTGTATAGTAATGGGGGTGTCCGGCTGTCCATCTGTTTAGTAAAAATAGTTTGTGTCTTATCATTTTATGAGCTCGGTGCTCACAGTACCTCTAGTTTTTACTTTAAGATTGAAGGTAGCCGTGGTTCAGAACATTTCCCTTTAATATTTTTCAGTCTTTTTTGTTGTTAAATATTGTAACTGTAATAGTCTTTTTTGTTGTTAAACTCTTCCCAGTGCCGTTGCACAATTTAATTCATATTTAATTTTCTTTGCCAAGAATTTTAATTACAAGGGTACATGTATGTGTTTTATGAGTCCAGTTTTTGACATTTGTCTTTTCACCATTTTGAAATTTTAGAAGCATAAAGTGTGCAATGTGTCAGTTGGAAATGTACCTGTCAATTTCAATCTAATTAAAATTAGATGTTCCGAAATCCGCTACCGCTTTTCAAACATCTAACAACATCCCATTAGGGGTCAAGTCAGAGCGACCTTTCGAATAAACATAAAAATTTTGGCCAATCAGATTCAACCTTCTGTATAAGATTCTAAAATTAGTTCCACGGCTACATCTTTATATTATTGATGCTCAGTACACTATTTTACGTTGAATTAAAGTAATTTTGGTACAAATTGAACGTATAGTCCGCCAATCTGGCATTCTTACCTGAATAATGCAAACAAAAATGCACATTTTAACTACATCTATACGTATCCTGCATGTCACATTCATATATAGCATGGTCTTTACCATGCATATTTTGTTTACTACAAAACCCCTTGGGCGTTTAGGTTCGGCAGTAAAAAAAGAAACACATCCGAACTATAAGCCAAGATTTCAGAAACGGCAATTTCATTGGGTAATGAAAAGGTCGCTCTTACGTGACCCCTAATGGGATGTTGTTAATCATGTTTGAGAAGCGGTAGCGGATTCGGAACATCTAATTTTAATTAGATTGTGTCAATTTATATCTTGAAAGTACAAATTTCAATACCAGTCAGAATACGCAGGCTGATATTGGCCATTGTAATTTTGTATACTGAATGAAAAAGAAATTGAAATAAGAACATTATGTACTTAAAAACTAACATGCTTCCATGCAAATACCAGAGATTCATAGTCATGAAATTGTGCCATGTAGCTTTAATACAGGGATACCGGTAAGTCTTGTTCAACTTCATCAATATTTTCTTTCTACCGCATTTGGCATTCACATGTACACAGTTAATTAATCCTTACACAGATCGAGCTTTAATTTTCAATACCAATTTATGTATACTTATACCTTGCTTTTTGAACTCTGGGATCTTTACAAAAACACCATATTGTTGAACAGATGCCACCTATTCAATAAATAATTGGTTGAATTAATTTTCATTATATAAACGAATGGACTACACCGATACATGTATGATAGAATGCATATGCATCAACATGATCAATACCTCTCCATAAAATATAGAATGCAGTGCTGGCATAGGTTCATTGCTGTCACTTTCTCGTCTTTTACTTTTAGCATGGCTGTCCTCTCGATCTGAATATGAACGTTTCATTTTAGAGTTCTTATTCAAAATAGCAAAAAAGTGAACCCGCACCCGTTTGTTTTCATTCGATGATTAATTTTACCTCCAATGACTGAAGAACTTTAAAAAGAAAGACAACTCTTCCTGTAGCAATATGAATACATTTTTTGGTTTTATGAATACTTCCAATATCTAAAAACAAATATATCTAGCAGTTTTGTAAAACTGGTCATAAAACATTTCATACATGTACTTGAACTTTCTATATAAACATGAACACTGCGTTTTCGAATACTAGTAATTGTCAATACATGTACTGTTAAAGTATTATCAATGAAAGATCTTTTCATTGTTCATCAACTTCTTGTTGATTTGTTCAACTGTTAAAATTTCATTGTACTAACAAAACCCAAAATTAGGAACCTTAGTGAAATTTTGAAAAAGTCTCTGAGTCTCTGTAATATAAACTATTTCTGTATTCTAGCTATGTTGCTCACTAAATTTTTTTAGTTACCGGGTATTTATACTTATCAATATCAATCACAATATCAATCATGGTCCTCCAGGTACTCCACTTGTAGAGATTAGGTTTAAAAGAACTAGTTATTGAATTGCAAGCATTACACTGTACGTCTCATTTTGAGTAACCCCAAAATTTTTAAGTAATTCTCTAACCGTTCAATGGATATGCAGTCACTTGAAAAGTTATCAGGTTTTAACTTGACAGGTTAACACAGTGATGACTGACGAGTCTAATGCAGTCACATGTTGATGTTACTCTCTTTAAGGAAGCTCTAAACACTAATGAAAAAAGCTTTTTGGACTTCAAGAAAAATATATCATATAAAGGTGCACATATTCAGTGTATCTAGTTCATTTTCAACATAGGGTACCTGCCTTATTTTTGCAGAATAAATGTTCAAAGACAATGAACTATTTGTGAACAGAAATCACTGCATGTTGGTTACTTGCATCGGGAAAATTAATGGAAATAATGTATTCAATTACTTAATCTTGGTCTAACATAACATTAAGAATACTTTAATTCATAAGAAATTGTGTCATTAACCGTAGATTCCCATTTATTCTATTTTTCTTCGAAGGGCAGATCACTCTCACTCAATAAAACTACCCTACAAACAGAACTCTTTAGTGTGCAGTGTGTAGAGCTTCCTTAAAATATCTTATCTAACCTGAACTCATATATGTATCATGGATCCAAATATTATGGAAAGAACAAACGAAGCATTTTTAAATGTCTGATTTTAATTTTGTAGGGTGGAATAGATAATATACAACATCACAGATAAATTCTGCTTTACAATTGTTCATACTTCTACCAACATTTTCTCCATTTACACATGTACCAATCACACAAAATATGACATGAAAAATACAAAAGGAACATTTTACATGAATTCCTAAATTCATGAGACAACCTTTGATAAAATTTCTGTATCAATGGAGTAGAAAAAAGTTATGAAAAATTACCACACATTTACATTCATTCATTTTTAGTCCATCCTTTTGATATTGCTCCCATTTACTACAAATTTTCTTTTTTTTTTCCTTTAACACCCTAAATTTTTGTTTAAAATTTTGGTTTACATTCTAAATTCATTGTTTGAATAAATTCTTCAAAAATTGATCATTTTTTATACACTTTGTATATATTTTTTTTTTTTTACACCTGTGAGAATTAGTTGCATAAATGAATTTACATTTGTCATCATTCAAAAGTATTTCAACAGCACTTTGTCAAAATATATTCACTGTAAGTCCAGGAAACATTTGAAGCATTTGTGACCCTGTCCACAAGTTCATGTATTCCAGTTAACATGCAAATATTCTTTTGATCTTAAAACTACATACTATAAACAGTGAAAAAAAAAATCAATTAAAAATCTTCATAAAATAGATAATAAATGCAACAATGTACATAAATCGTATCTAAAGCCTATTTGTTCTTAGAAATTTGGTGAAAAATGAATGTTAATATTGCAAACTGAACACATCAGCCATCATGATATAAAGCCAGAGAAGTCAACAACTATCTCACAATCAACAATGTAACAACGGCTGTCCAACTTAACAACCATAACAAATTCTGTCAGTAAGTAGACAATTTGGCAACAACAAAAATTAAACTTGAATTCTCAGCAATTAATGACTGAATTGTCATACATGTATAATCATGATACCATGTCATATTTCTCTTAGACACAATTCATACATTAATTCTCATTCATTCTAAAGAGTAGCACAGATTCTCAATTACAAATGAAATGACCTTACATACTTTTGTTAATTCAGTGCTGAATTTCTAACAAAAGGGTGATGCTGTGGGATCCATTGTCTTAAAGAAGTCCTTAGTGTTAATTTCTGTTTCTGATGCGAATGCCAAGTCTGGACCTGGGGGAGTTAAGCCCCCAACCTCTTCATCTGCAACTTGTAGTACCGAACCCACATTCTCCTGTGGCACCTTCTGCTCTTGTTTAACAGTTGTCCTTGGGTCACTTTTGTTCATTCGAGGATCAACTTTTGGGGGTTTACTTGGAGGGGGACGATTATAACTGTTATAACTTGAGACATTTTCCTGTCCTGCTTCTTCTCTATCCAGAGGAGAAGCATATTCCATGCTTCCTTTACGTTTGCCTGCTGGCTTTCGCTTGAATCGTGGATCATTGCGGTAGTCTAATTTTGGTTTGTCAGCTGAGTCTCCACTTCCCTTCTCTGAATCATTTGATGATTGACTAAGCTGCCTGTCCATTGACATTTTTTGGAGACTTTCATCGTCCAGTAAAAGGTCAATTTTTGGATTAATTAATGGTTCACCGAGAGGTTTGAGGCTCAAGTCAGGTAACATAGCACTGTTTGGATCAGGAGTAGAGTTTTGTCTTCCAAACTTCCTTGGATCACTATTTTGCCTTGGATCATTGGCAATAGCTGCTGGGAGAGGTGGTATAGGGGGAGTAGGTAAAAGTCCTGTGGATCTTTGTTCAACAGGTTGTTCTGAAATTTGTCTGCCCATTCTGGGATCAGCTGGCCTTGAGACACCACTTGAGCTATTTTGTCTCGAGAAACGAGGGCCCATTGAGCCTAAACTGTCTGTGTTACTTATCTGTCTGCCCATTCTTGGATCTACAGAAGGCCTCATAGGCAGAAAATGAACACCCATTGGTGGATTTGAAGGAGTACGCTGTAACCTTGGGTCAACAGCAGGAGCACCTGAATCAGAATTTGTTCTTCCTAGTCGTGGATCCCAGGGTTTTCCAGAATCACTTCCAGGTTTCAAACGAGGATCCCCTTGAGAGGCCCCCGATTTCACAGGCTGACCAGTTCGTGGGTCAACCTGCTTCTGCCCATCTGTTTTAATCTCCACAGACTGGCCCCTAGTGGCCTCTGCCACCTTCAACAGTTTTTGAATCCTTGGATCACTTTTGTACTTTGGATCAGCAAGATTGATACCGGGAGGAGGTATCTTGGGAGAACCTTCAACTGTCACTGGTATGACATTCCACATTACATCCCCTTCACTAGAGGTTATAAACACTGGGGGAGGAGGTTCAAATGGCGAGTCTTGAGATTCAATAGGAATAATGGGAGGAGTGGATTTGTCCCCTGACTTTCCAAATGACCTTGGATCCTGTCTTTTACGAGGATCTCTTGGCATAGAGGTGGCAGAGCTGCAAAACAAATTATCATTTCTATAAGATAAACATTTTTCATCTCTCTAACTAAATGGATTAAATGGTGGAAAATAACTTCAATTTTTTTTTAAAAAAAAAACCTCAAAACACCAAAATAAAATTTGTTAGCTTTGACACATGCAAATTTAATCACTTTTAATGAAAATGTTGGGTAATAAAAATTTTAATGAAAAGCATGGGGTTATAAAAATGCATATCTCCTCTTACCTTGCTGGTGGGGAAGTGGCACCAGAACTGCTAGTTTTGATGGCATTGATCATTTGCATTATATTCATTGTGCTAGGTGTGGAAGATGGAGGATTAGTGGCCTGTGGACTGAGGGGGGTGGAAGACTGAAACATAAAAAATCAAGTTTACACAGTACTTCAGAGAACATAACAGGATACCAAGTGTTTCTGATGGGTCTCTCTCCTTATAAACCCCTGGCCTATTGTTATACATGTATCAGGAAAATGGAGTCAGTGAATTTTTTGTTTTAAAGCTGTTCTATCTTTAACTGGAGTGTCTCTCACTGTATATTCAAGTACAACACTTTTCTACTTCTGTCCATAAGTATGGAAGATGCTATCTTAACTTTTAAATTAGTGACTTTTTCCATTGACTAATCTATGAGTTTTAAGATCACGTGATATAAACAATCCTAATTATTTTAATAGCATGAAACGCCAGGGATCTCTAGGAACAGAAGCATACCACAAACACATTGCTAAAGAATATGCTTTTCAATAACCTCTTTTAACTCTATTTCTCTCGGGTATTCATGATGTAAATGCCTTACTTGTCTGTTGATTTTTTTGAGTACATCTGTAAGTTTTTTGGAATCTTTCTGATCCTCTTCATCACTTGAGTACCAATTGTCATCTTCCTCTGGAAAAAAAAATATGAATAACAGAACAGCATCCCATTTGAAATGGATCAACATTTCCTGCATTTTTACCTAAAGAAATTACATGTAGAAATCAACATTTATATGCCTACCCTTTTCTTTGGAATCACTGTCTGTAATGACATCGGGCTTGGAATTCAGTGCTTGGTTCTCTTTACTTTCATCTTTTCCTTCAGTTGTCTTGTTGATTCTTTCAAACAGTTCTTTTTGATTTGAGGTTAAGTAATCATCAGTTTCAATTCCGAGCATTGCCAACTTCTCTTTATTTGGGTCTGTGTCTTTTGATTTATCCTCTCTTTTATCGTCATCCCCATCTACACAGAAAATGTATTTGTTTAACACGTACACACAAACACACACATTTGAAGTGTACAATTTTTAAAAATTTGATATATCAGACCTCCTCAATTCATTTAAAACATGAACACATATTTTTATACCTTCTCTGTTGCTGCCTTGGAATGTTTGACCCTGACCCTCCATATTCTCTCCTGAATGTGGACCAGGGCCTTGTAGATCTGGTCCTTGAAACTGGTGAGCTTGGTCTGGATGTCCAGGAAATATTCCTTCCTGATGGTCTCCTGGGCCCTGAAAATTTCCCATTGGCTGATTTGGCACTGGACCCCCTGTACTCGCATTAGGTTGCCTTACACCTGCTGCATGCTGCAATAATGCCCCGACTAATGCCACTGCTGGATTCAAAGCCGGATTCATCTGGTTCATCATCCTGGGAGGACCCATCATTTGCCCAGGCATGGAGACAGGTGGACCCATGGGAGGTCCTTGATTCATTGGCCCTCTAGGACCCATCATGGGTCCTTGGTTCATGGGCCCCATAGGACCCATTGGACCCCTAGGACCTGGTGGGCCTTGGTTCATTTGTGGTCCTGGGCCTTGCATGCGATTCATGTTCATTTCATTGTAAAACCCAGGCCTGTAAATGAAATTTCTTGTTCTTAAAATTCCATGCCCTCACTTTACAAAAGAACAGAATTTACATTTACTTGGATAATTTATTTCATCCTTTCTCTTGGTTTAATATTACTTCAATGTAAAATTAACACAAGTATTTTTTTTAAGGAGTATTAAATCGGTAGGGTTTAAAGCAAACTAAACTTTTTGCAGTTTATACATAAAACAGGACCCTGAACACTCACCTTGGAGGTTGCATGTGGGGAGGGTGCATCATGTTAGGTGGACCCCCAGGTTTGTTGGGACTTTGATTTGGTGGATGAGTTTCTATATCAAAAATGGATGGAATTTTCTTGATCCTTTCCTGAACTGCAGGATCAACGAGTAGATGTCTTGGTGGGGACCCTGTAAAAGAAAATATTATTATGCAACATACAAAAATATTGTAACATACAAATACAAGAACAAGTACATTGTATGTCTTTAAGATGTAGTCAACCTCACTAACTGGTAAAGAACAGAAAAAGTTTAGTTCACTGATATGCTAAACCATAGCAACTTTTAAAACATCTTACAACAGATATTTACCTAATAAACTTGGTCGATTTTTATTTCTTTGTCTGTCTTCCTCAAACTCTGCATCATTGTCATGATTATTGTACCTCTGTAATGAAAATTTTGATATTATGTACATTAAGTTTCATTGGTCATTCCAAAATATTACAATGGCATTAATCACCAAGAGAAAACAAATTGGGATAACAAATATTGATTTTCCATACCTTTTCAATAAGATGTCTTGTTTCATCTGTCAGGGGATCATGGGAAAATTTACAGTTGTCCCCACCATAGCATTCCTGACCCGTATGAAAGAACTTGCATGGAAATTCACGTAATTCTGTTAAGGAAACTTGCTCACAAGGCAAAGTCTTATATAAATTTTAATACACAAATGCCAAATGAATGTTACTGACTTAATCATGAAAGAAAACTTCACCAGAAAAGGATATTGTGCATAAAAATGCAGTTGTCTTCTTTGGAGCAATATGAATTCAAGTAATATTTACACAACTCTGGTTTCTTTGGCATCTTTTCATGATTGAATGGACAATCATAACCCTGGAGAAGAAATAAAAGTTGAATAAAACTTTCTCCTACAGCTTATCATAATTAAACAAAGCAATTCAGCATCAAATCTAATTATTGCATTGAGCAAATTTTTTTGAACGCCATGAATGCCAATGTAAATATTCACCTTTTGACACTTCCCCTCTTTGTAGAATCTACATATAGGTCGTTCCTCCATTGGAGTTTTTAGCAGTGGCTTTTTCTTGGGCTGATCCTGATTGTGATCCCGGGATTGATTCTTCCTCTTATTGTTTCCCCTATCATGATTGTTATGCCCTCCACCTCTGCCATCTCTTTCAAAATTTCTCTTCTTCTTTGGTGGTGGTTTTTTATATATTTCCTTTGTGGAAAAAAATTAAATATTTATTTACACACATACTATTCAGAAATAACAAATATTTTTTATAAAAAGTATCCGATTCTTTTTTGCCCCACCCTACACCATGTGTCATGATTTGAAAAAAAAATTGAATACACAATCTCCCTTCTGAAAATCTGGATTAATTTAATTATGCATAATGCATATGGAAACAATAAATTGTACCTGGCCCTCTTCTGCAGCTATATTAGGATCCAACATGTTATCCCCCAACATGCTCAGCATACTTTTGTTCTTTTTGGATCTATCACCACGATGGCCATCAAATCTGAAGAGAAAAAAAAATCATTGTAAGAGTTACTTCCCTTACCATGTAATTGCTTTTTCCTGGTCTGGAAAAATTAACTCCTTGAGCATGTTAGTTCTAACTTCTAATGACTTGTAAATAAGAAATATCAAACAATTTTCAAAATTATTAATTTTATTTGACAGATCTTTGTTTGGAATTCATGAATTTAGTCACTCTTAATGTCTGACACACTTCAGAAAATTGAAACAACTCTAGAGAATTTATATAAATTTCTGACAGTTAAATGTAAAAGATCACAACAAAACGACTTACTCTTCATCTTCATCTGATGGACTGTCATATGGACCAGGAGGGCTCTCAAACCTATCCCCTCTCCGATCTCCTCCATAGTTCTGGGAGTCATAATCATGTTTATGATTGCCTGAAGAATTCTTTTTGTGCGACATCCACCCCTGCTGATTTTCATCATCCACATTGTCATAATCATGGTATTTAGGGGGCCTTTTCCCTTTGTTTCTTTGTTGCTGAAAAATACTTGAAAATTTAATACCATCTCTTAATTCATAAGCAAGATTATATCCCCCCCCCCCCACCAAGTTTCCCAGGAAAACAATTCTTAACAATTTCATAAACACATATATATCAAATCAAAAGCTGAAATGTTATTTAACAAGTTTATCAAAAGTCATTTAGCTGAAACAGGTGTATCATATAACCTTGTCATCCCGCCTTCCTCTGCGGTCTCTCCGGTCTCTCTCCCTTCCATGTCTGCCTCCTCGAGAATGAGGCCGTCTTTTATCGTGCCTATCCCTTGAATGCCCCATTTCTTGATCAGTTCCTCCTTCCTCATAATCATCATCTGGGTAATCTTCATCTCGTCTGCTATCTCCTGACTTTCCTATAAAGCACAAAGAAAACAAATTATCTGTCTATTTAACTAGTACAGTGTATCTCAGTCATTGACATAAGACACTAAATGCAGATTTTGTAAACCAAAAATTTTCAGGATTTTCACCTCCATCCCTGTCATGTCTTCTTCTGCTACCTTGATGATCCATTCTGGTACCATTTCTTTGGTTCTCCTCCCCATGTTCACTACCATCATCCCCATCATCATCAATTTCTCCATCCTCCAGGATTTCACCATCTTCAGCCTCCATGTCCTGACTGCTTCGGGAATCATCTAATCTTGCCTTGCTCTTGGATTTTTCTCTCCGATGTCTTCCATGCCTCCTGTGCTTTCCCTTGTGATCCCTATCTTCTGATCTCCTATGTCGTCTGCGTTCATTATCTCTTTGTCCATCCTCCTGGTCAGAGTATTCTACCCCATGATAATGCTGCCTATCAAACTCACCTTCTGAACGATCACTTCCTGAGCGTTTAAATTTTTTGTAGTCAGAATCATGTGACCTGTGACCTCTTCTTCTCGAGTCCCCATACTTGCGATTTCCCTCAATGTCCTCCTGGCTGCTCCTGTGACGTTTTCGTTTGTGCCTCCCCTTTTCCTGGTCTACATCTCCTTCCTCACCCTCCTCCTGCCCTTCCTGTGCCTCATCCTCTCCTCCTTGCTCCCCTTCCTCTGGGTTGTCAATTTTCTGTGTGTCTTCATCAGGATCATACTCATCAGTTGTTCCTCCTCCATATTCATCCTCTTGCTCCATAACTTCAGTCATCACTTAAGTTTTACATGGTCTAAGTTTAATTCTACAAAAAGCAAAATTGCACCTGCTAAATGTTAATTTTCTAAATAATCACAATAACTTTAATCCAACAGAAAACTATTTTTGCATGTATTTCGTGTGTAAATTTTTAAAGCCCAATTTTCTTGTAATTCATATTCATGAAGTTAATAAGAGATTTAATTATTAAATTAATATTTACTACATTTCCTGCTTAATATTTGTGTAATATTTCATATTATTGTATTCTAATCAAAAAAAAAAAAGAAGAATATTGTACTCATTTGGTGTGTGAACTTGTGCCATATGGGTTTTTACGGGGAAAAATGCAAGCAAGGTCTTTCAGATGCACTTTGAATTTCCATGGATTTGGGTTTAAATGTGTACCAAGGGATGGGGATGTTGTTGTTTAGTAGGATGGAGTGCAAGCATTTACATCCTGAACTGGACTTTATTGTTCTTTCAGAATAATTATACTCTGTTTCCCAAAATAATATATTCCAACGGAATGTTTTCACCACATCTGGATCTTCTGATACCAAATCAAAATTTTATTATTAAGTTTATATGGAGAACAAACATGGTCAGACTTTAAAGGGACATAATATAAAGGGGGAGTGTTAATAATCAATAATAATTTTCTAAAAGAATAAATCCCAAACATCTGCCACCTTTAGTATCATTTCTTGCACAAGTTTCACCAAAATTTCCCCATTTAGTGAATAGACTTTGAACATTTCCTTCTCTTCATTCAACTCAAGGGTCAACAAAAATTAACGTTTCATTAAGTGTTCAAAATGTGTACGTTGCATATTGTTATTATATCAAAAATGTGATATCTTATATATTTTGCTATGTTGTATTCTTTTCTTTTTTTTTCTTTGTGTTAATATTAGTTTCACAACAATATTTTCCTGGATTTGACCTGATCCACTTTGAGAAACACGGATCCTGTTAGGAAATGACTTGTAACGCACATGACACACGTAATCGGTGAACTATTTATAGATACCGTTGCGTGGTTACCTTGACTAAACGTATGGCGGAAGAAAAGGCATATATCCGGGCAATGTCCACGCCCATAATGTCGCCTGTGAATATTTTACACATACCACATCCAACGACATCGGTGTTCAGATACATGTCTGAACTACTTCTATAACATTTTTTGAAAATTTATTAAAGAATTATTAAGCTTAGAGATCTTTTTTTTTCTCTCTTACAAATTTTTCAACAAGGTAATATTATCTGGTAATGCAATGTCCCGCTTACCTTCCATTTACTTATAGCTGGGTATATTTTGAAAATATATGAGTTAGCCTAAATCTTTTACAGATTTGTCTTATGAATGCCAGTTCAGTGTTTATATTCCAATTACATGAATCATGTATCTTTCTGATCATCGGCTTAGAACTTAGAACAGCTTCGTGTTGGTTGCATGTAACTTACAACTGCGCAGTAATAAAATTATTCAAAATGGCTTACACATTTGCATAATTTATGCATACTTTACTACAATACCTTCTTCGGCCTATTTTTATCCTTTCTGATATTTGCTTATCAAACTAGACAATGAAATTTTGTCTAGAAAGATGAATTTATCGTTGCTCTTCATCAATCCTTCGCCTATCCGTGTTTCTCAATGTGGTTTCATGGAATATATCAACCTTGCACCTTTTGTACAAGGACTTTGGGAGTCACAGATAGAGAGGAGTTAATTTTATGATGAAATAAGGGAAAGATACCGATAGGTAGTGTTTCACTGAAGTCTTTTTCAGGATGTACAATTAACTGATCGTATTTTGCTTTGGAATTTTGTCCAACTGCGTCCAGATTGAATGCGTATTTCCAGTCTCAACAAGCACTACACATTTTCCCCTTCGCTAACAAGATGGCGACGTAATAAACTATATCAATCACGTGACTTCGATTTCTATTTTTGACACTTCATTCCTCTGAGAGACAAGGTCATGTCAGCTGACACTTTTATTAAATTTAATATTTTGCCATCTTTTTATAGAAAATATCAATGCAAGAAATCACTAATAAAGATTACTGCAGGTTATCCTGTTTGAAATCTACTGATAAAAACGTGATACTGAAAACTGAAATCCGCACTATTTCATGAACCTATGCATTTGCATATTGAGGCTCAAGAGGGTTTTCTCAGTAAGTCAACATGCTAGGGTCAGGTGATGAAGGCGGATATATTTTCTTCCTGTTCAGTGATTAGTACACGTGTGCATACTAGCCTAGGCCTACGTTGGGCCTAGTGTAAACCCATTGTTGGTATAAATACGAGCTATGATCTTTAGCATTGTTACGATCAATACTTATTGACGTTAAATATGTAATTTTATGTGATCAAATATTGATAAGAGAAGGGGGGGGGGTAAAATTTTCATATTCGTTCCTTCTTTAAAAGGAAATGAATGATACGGGTTTTTAGCTAATAATTATCATGTCAATTGATATTTTAGTCATGTTGAATTTAAAATTATAACATATAATTCTTTATATTAAATCATCAAAATTTACACATGCATGCAGGGGTAATCGCCGGGTTTAAACTTTTCAGTCTTTACTAAATATATTATTAAACTGTTAAATATTTACAGCATCTTTGAATTAGAAGGCACCTTCATTGAAGTAAAGCTACCAGGCCCGTAGGAAGCAATTTCAGTTGGGGGGGGGGGTGCACAGCCAAACTTTTTCAGTTGACAGTTGAGGGGGCACTACCAAAAATTTCCTGACAAGCAAAAAAAAAAAATAAATAAATAAAATTAAAAAAAAAAGGTCATCAGACGGTTTTATTGAGGGGGCACAAACATATTGTCTATGATTATTAACGCTGAATACAATGTTATATAGCTGTTTATGTAACTGTATATGTATATATATATATATATATATAACAATGTATATTGTGAATTATGTTTAAATTGTGCATTTATATATGTGGAAATGCCTCTCGGGGCCCTTGATTGGTAAATAAAATATCTTGTATCTTGTATAGTATCTATGTTTACTATAGTAATCTATATATCGGCCCCCCGTGCCCCCCCCCCCCCCCGCGGTTCCTACGGCCATGGGTTACCAGCGCAGTTGCCCCCGCCCGAGCTTCTCACATGAGTTTTTTCACTGTTGAGTACAATATGTCACGATTTTTTGACATTAACTATATAATTGCATGGTTCATGGACCTGAAGCAAATGCTTTACTTCAGACATGCTTTATATAGTTGCATGACCTGGCACTTTCGAATTTGAATTTTGCTACAAGTAGGAATTAAAATAAATGTAAACAAAATAAGTTGTTAATAATGTTATCAATCACTGTTCCTCGCCGAGGTTAACTTGAGAAAATTGTACAAGAGTCTGCCATTGAATTTGATTAAATTGTTATAATATTGCTTAAATCCTAATAATCTTTTTAGTGCTGCACACAGAATATTTACTGACTCACTTTTTCAGTTTTTTGCGTATTCACCCACGACAGAATTATATTTACAATTCAAGCTTATAAGTTAAATAAAAAGATGCATGTTTCATGTTTGGTTCAGTCACATAAAATCTGTGATCCTAAGTCAATGTTTCTGTGCTTTGCCCCCCCCCCCCCTAAGTGGGTGTTTATTTTTTTTTCACATCCAGCACATGGGTACGAGTGATTAGTTATTTTGTTTTTAATAACAATTTAACAATTCAGAGATAACAATTTTATGAAAGATTAATCAGTCAAATGGAAAGATCGAGAATGAAGGCCAATCCCAAGTATACGTGAGTCCTATTCATTGTACGCTGTATATCTGTCATCTGACATACAATGTCATTGGCAGATTTATAGGAGATAGGGGGCCAAAAAATATACAGAAGATTAATAAATGAATATTTTGTGTTGAATATTGCATTAATTTTTCATTTAGCATAGCTAAAATAAGTCAAAACACTGTTCCATAAAACTCCTAAAACCAAAGAGCTTCCATGCAGGGGCTTCGCACTGCAGATCTCGAGCTGGTTGCCCCCCCCTCCCCCACCCCCAACTTCCTTTTTCAAAAATCCTGGATCCGCTAATTGAATGTACTAAAGAAGTCATTGAAAAATCATATACATTAATTCTTAATGTCAGTCTGAAAGGAGGGAGAATGATAAAATTACTAAGAATGAACCTTTACGGCTTCTTTACTCTCACTGTTAAGTGTGTAAATTTGATAACATGCGGGGGGTGGGGGGGGGGTGGAGAGGGGGATCCCTGCATGTAATCTCGGTGGAGATTCGGCTGGGCTAGATATTTGGTCTGACGCCCACCGACCAAATATCTAGCCCAGCCGAATCCACCGAGATTACCCTGCATGAGATTCCGTGACCCCTTACACAGTACAATCCTATATGTTAAAGTGTAAGAATAATAGTATTTTCTGTATTGTTTGTTTGTGAATATTTACAGTATTTTGACGAGGGAAGGATATCCAGAAGTCTTCGAAGAATATATTGAACAGGCCTAGAATATTTATTGTACGGTTGTCTAATATTGAACGCTCCACACAGAAGCGCCATCTGTAGATTTGTAGTTGTCGAACGTTTTGACGGTGCTCTGTTCAACAATATTTAGGTTTGTGCATAGATTTCAGTATACCTCATACGTTCATTTACATTCTATAGAAATATATTTCATGTAAGTTGCAAAAAAGTCACAGATCACTTTGATATTCCATGACGCTTAACACGTAGTTGGTAACTTTCTGTTCAGTTGGAAGTGAAAACATCATCATGTTTTCATTTGTGTTAAAAAATATTGAAATAACAACAAAGATTTAAGTGTTTTATTTTTTAAAACAAATATTTTTGCTGTATAGTTTACACATTAGACATTACAGCAACTCAAGAGCTAAGACTATGGTGTAGTAATTTTGTGAATCAATATTTTAATGCATGCACAGTACTATGACAAACGGTGAAACTGTTAAGCGCGATTGCAGTTTCTTTTGTAATAATTAATGAATTCTACACTTCTTAAATATCCTTTTGCAAAATGCAAATGATGTCACAATTTTCAGTGAACTGCTATAGGCCCCGTTTACCGCATCTTGTAACATCATTTAATATTTTTTTCCACATGATTTTTAACCCTAATAATTTTCTTAAACTTTGACATACATGTGATATGTACAGGCTGTACGCAAAATGTACAGTTTTTTGAGCCCATTCATCGTGTACCGGCGGGACACCAAAATTCACGGAATATGAAAATTTGTACAGTATTTTGAATTTCTCGCTAAATGCCGCCATTTTCCTCTCATTCTCGCTCGCGAGACACTGAAAAACGTCACCTGTGTTTGACACTTGACCTTCTGATAATTGTGTAGTGTACACAAACCATCGCGTGCGAAGGTGTGAACTGCCAATTGGGATAATTATCTTGCTATAAATCCATATCAAATATCCCTTTAGATAGCTTTATTTTTTAAGGGGTACTTAATTACTGTTAATGTTTCGTATACGTAACTTGATTGAAAAAAATTAAGCCAACTTCGAAAGTTGATATACATGACTTTAGTCTTAATATACGTGAATCTGACCCAGATCTTCGTAGGTATAAAATATACGATGTTTATTACAATGATTACGATGGAATTTCAGAAGAATTTAAGCGATATTTTATACCATTTTTTTGTACCGTTTTTATGCCCCGCCATGAATATGGCCGGGGCATATAGTGTTTGTCATGTCCGTCTTCCGTCCTTCCGTCCTTCTGTCCTTCCGTCTGTCCTTCCGTCACACTTTGCGTTTAGCTCTGTTCAAAGCTCAGTTTCAAAGAAACTATCCAAGATATTTTTATCAAACTTCATATGCTGATAGATATTGATGAGGGCTATGCAACTGCATCAACATTTTTTGACCTTGACCTTTCCTTTGACCTTGACCTCACTTTTCTTAAATTAGTGTTTAGCTCAGTTTTAAAGATACCATTCAAGATAGTGTAATCAAACTTCATATGTTGATACATACTGATGTAAGCTATTCAATTGCATCAACATTTTTTTGACCTTGACCTTTATTTTGACCTTGACCTCACTTTTCTTAAATTAATGTTTAGCTCTGTTTTAATGAGACCATTCAAGATATTTTTAACAAACTTCATATGCTGATACATACTGATGAGAGCTATTCAACTGCATCAACATTTTTTGATCTTGACCTTTCCTTTGACCTTGACCTCACTTTTCTTAAATTAGTGTCAAACTTCATATGCTGATACATACTGATGAGAGCTATTCAACTGCATCAATATTTTTTGACCTTGACCTTTCCTTTGACCTTGACCTCACTTTTCTTAAATTAGTGTTTAGCTCAGTTTTAAAGAAACCATTCATAATATTTTCATCAAACTTCATATGCTAATACATACTGATGTAACCTTTTCAACTGCATCAACATTTTTTGACCTTGACCTTTCCTTTGACCTTGACCTCACTTTTCTTAAATTAGTGTTTAGCTCAGTTTTAAAGAAACCATTCATAATATTTTCATCAAACTTCATATGCTAATACATACTGATGTAACCTTTTCAACTACATCAACATTTTTTGATCTTGACCTTTCCTTTGATCTTGACCTCACTTTTCTTAAATTAGTTTCTGAATCAAACGTCATATGCTGATACATACTGATGTAAGCTATTCAACTGCAGCAATATTTTTTGACCTTGACCTTTCCTTTGACCTTGACCTCACTTTTCTCAATTTGTGTTAAAATGTTGCATTACTAATATACCCTTGGCGGGGCATTCATGTCCTATGGACATATTTCTAGTTTGATAAGCAGTGTACAGTTTTTTCACCCAAATTCCAGTTTTTCTATGGCTCCTGTACAGTTTTGTGGTCTTTGACTTATCACATGTATGCTTTGACAACTCCCAGTTCCTCATGTTCAAGTTTCCGATTTTAGTTCTTGGACACATCCGACAAAATCAGAAATACATGAGACCTTTTTAATAATGAAAAACAACTTCATATACAAAGTCGTGAAAACTGAGGATTCCAAAAAATTCTTTTTAAACCTTTTCAAAGTAAGTCAATAACTTACTTTGATTAAGTCATCATGTTGCTCTGCACCCAAAGAGGATTGAGAGTTTTGGAAATTTTTTTCACATGGACTCGTAAAAATTTCTTTGAACAGTTGTTCAGATTTCAAATCAAACTTCCTACTTTTGAACATGTTGTCATTAGAGCTCTTAGTGCGATTGCCACTCTGGGCCACTTGCTGTATTTGCTATTATAGTATAAGAAAGAAATCATCATGTATAATACTTCTTACATAGTCAAAAATTAAGTGACAGGAAACTTCTCAGTAGGTTTTGCACTTGGCCCAGGCTTGCCTTACCAGGTGTATATTTACCAACCTAATTAATATTAGTAATATCATCCCATTCCCAGTCAGTAGATGACTACCTTTATGCAACAAATCCCATTTAACTGACAGTAAAAATTTTTTTTAACCTTATCAAAATATTACATGTGAAAATTGTATTGAAATAAAGCCTCTATTTGTGAAATGATATGTTTCCAACCCTGCCAGAAGTGCTCAGGAGTATAGTGTCACCATTGCATTGCCTCTTGTAATCTAAAGTGTATGACCTGAATACACTGTATTTACACTACAGTCAATAATCAATCACAACCAGCATATCCCTACAAAGTAGTGAGAGATTTGATAATGTATTTGTAGTTTATAAAGCATAAATTAAGTGTACATTTATGAATATTTTTTATCTTTCTTGTGACCAGAAATGTCAGACAGTGAGGATGAAGGAAGTGTTTACTCTGATGCTGGAAGTGGGAGAAATGAAGGTGGGAGTGATGTAAGTAATAAAGTGAAAGTAATAAGTGAAAGTAAAGAAGTAGTTGAAGTGGTAGCACGTATCGATATTTTTATTTGTATTTACATTATATCACTGTGAAGTTCATTGGAATTATTAAAGTGTAGCTTCAAAATTGATTTTGAGTGAATTATTTATGTGGTGAAACAATTCCTTACTTACTACTTAGTCAAATTCATTGTTGTGTGGATTACAGAATGAAGATGGCAAAAGTAATGCAGGCAGTGACATTGGTAGTGATGTAGGAAGCGATGAGGGAAGTGAGATTGCTTCCCCTGTCAACAGAAGAAGAGGTCGGGGGCGTAGTGTGGATGACATCATTGATGATGAAGACGAAGATGTAATTATCTTTTTGAAAAGAGAATTGCAAAGGACTGGTTGATGTCAGGCATAGACTTATAGCTTGAAATAAGGCCAAAAATAAAGGCTGTATATTTAATAACTATTAAATCATTTTGAGTTTATATGTAATACAACTGTTAAATAATTTCATCAATCTGTTTTTTTTACCTAGTGATGCAAATACATACATGTTTTAAACCCAGATGACTTGGACATGGTGACATTGTAGTTTTAAAATAAAATGTCAATCATTATACACTCCACACTTTAAGTGATATGACAGATGTAAACATATGGTATACTATAATTGATTTAAGCTCAAAAATATGCATGATAATGGATTATGTAAAGATAGTATTACCTTGTCTAAAAATATGTAAAAAAAAAAAATTAAATAAATTCTTAATATCCCCCTTTTAGCTTGGATTTTGACAGATACCCAGCATATTTCATTTTCATTTTGAAATTTTTCAATTTTGAATTCCTGTATTTGCATTTGCTTTTTTTTTGTTTTTGTTTTTTTTTGTTTTTTTTTGTTTTGTTTTTTTGCTAAACCAACAATGAAATAGATCAGAATGGCATTTTCATGTACACTCACTCGTAGAAATATACATGGAGTTAACAGACATTAAAGTGACATGACAGTAAGACCACAAGCTTAAATATCCAGTGTCCTTTAATACAGATGCTCCCATTACACAGTTTGTTATTGATTTGATGTAGGATTATGACGAAGAAGAAGATGAAGACTATGAAGAAAGTGGGAGAAAGAAAAAGAAGCCCAGACATGCAGGATACATCTTGGATGAAGCTGGTATACTTCCTTAGTTCAATGTTTAACGACTCACAGATTTTTAATTTCAAAACAATTAACATTTAGTTAACAGTGTTTGATGATGATGATGACTGTAGATGTCGATGAGGAGGGAGATGAAGATGAAGAGGAGTGGGAAGAAGGAGCTGAGGACTTGATAGACAAAGTCTCCTCTTATGAAGGTCCCACTGCCAAGGAAATTGAAAATAACAGAAGACTGGGACATTTATTCAGGTATCAAAGCAAACTTTCTGTCAATTAAAGCTGAAATGATAATGATTTGTAATTGAATCATAATTCTGGAGAAAAGAGAAGGCATGTATTTCACACGTTCTGTGTTTGAACATAAATAGAAAAAAATACAATACTTTTTTTTTGTTTCAGTTCCCAGAGAGAAGATGAGTTAGAGGAGTACTATAGAAACAAGTATGGACAGACATCAGTTGCTGCTCGCTTTGGTGAGGGAGAAGAAATGTCAGATGAAATTACGCAACAAGGACTTCTTCCGGGTGTCAAGTAAGAACTTATGGATTTGAGTATTGCTTTTAGAATTACATGTATGCCATGCAAGAAGAAGCAGATAAGTAAAGAGAGAAGAATAAAAAGATTCAGAAGAGTAAGTAGTAGATAAAGAATCTTTTTTTTCGTGATTTCATAGGGATCCAAACTTGTGGCTGGTGAAATGTAGAATTGGCGAAGAGAGAGCCACAGCCTTACAGCTAATGAGGAAGTTTATTGCTTACCAGTTCACTGATGAGGTAAGAATTAAATGTTTCATATGATTCGTTTTGAATTTTTTTTTTCTGGCTATGATGGTTAAAACACGACATGGTGAAAAAGATTACATGTACAAGTTTTTTGTCTTTATTCTACAGTATGGTAAGCATGAGATTTGAGAGTAATTTGAGGTTTTTTTTCTCTTTTTCATGTAGCCACTGCAAATTAAATCAGTGATATCCAAGGAAAGCTTGAAAGGATACATTTATATTGAGGCTTACAAACAGACTCATGTAAAACAGGCCATTGATGGTATAGGGAATCTCAGAATGGGACAATGGTCACAGCAGGTACATGCATGCATTTAATTTTTTTTTTTTTTAATTTGTTTTTTCATAAAGCCAAATCTAGTTCTTTAAACATCCAATTATGCTTTTAAAAGGCCTAAGATTTTGTAATGAGACATTATGATATTTTGTATCCCTGTACTTACATGCACATGCAAATGTATTCTATTTCTGGACTAGCTGTCAGAATGCACATACAAAAAATACTTCTGACAAAGTAATGGAGTTATATCAACAGCAACATGCATAAATACATGTATGAAACTACAATGTATTGGTTTATTTTATTAAGATGGTACCTATCAAAGAAATGACAGATGTGTTGAAAGTTGTGAAGGAGACAGCACAACTAAAGCCCAGACAGTGGGTCCGCCTGAAGAGGGGAATCTTCAAAGATGATTTGGCACAGGTAGGTTGAAGATCAGGAAGACTTGGTAATTTTTAAATTACATTTACATTTGTTTGAATAAATAAGAATGCACAAGTTCGATTCTCTTTAATCGTTAATCTCTGAGAAAGAATAAACACCACAGAGAGCTTTGAAAACACACATTTACTTAACATTCTAAAAAAAGGTTCTTAAAAATCGAAAAATTCCTATTTTCAACTTTAATATTTGGCAATGTTGTAGTTAACAACAAACTCAAAAAGTATATAGTGAATGCAAGTAAACAACAAACTCAAAAAGTATATATTGTGAATTCAGGTAAACATGATCATTTTATAGCAAATCCTATGAGAAAATTAAATTGTTTCATGATACCTCTTTGTATCTGCTTCTGATAATTCATTCTGTTGAAGTGATGGCTGAATAATAACTGATGTCTTTGTTATAATTAGGTACTTGCCAAAGCCATGCTCAGTGTAAATACAGTTTACTGTACTTCTGTAATTTTTTTACAGGTTGACTACTTTGAGCCAGCACAGAACATAGTCCATTTGAAGATGATACCTCGCATTGATTACACAAAGAAACGAGGGGTGCTGAGAGTACAGGCTGATGTGAGTAATGATTTTTGATGTACATGTATACTGACATTCTGATACCCAGTACTAAGGAGGACGTAGGGAGGGAGGGAGGACTTCCTAGAATTTAGAAATTGTGTTCAATCCCGCATTTGTATGCTGTTAGCAAAAATGAGTTCAAAAAACAAGACAAGAACAACAAAATAAATATGTATTAAAAGGAATGATGTTCTGCTAAGAGAGACAACTCTTTATAAATTTATAAAGTCCAAGACTGATTTGTTACGTAGGGAATATGAAATTTTCTGCACAGGTATGGATGTTTTGTAGTACATGTATTTTTATGAAACAACTGTGTCCATTTTCTTCCAGGAAGTAGAGAAGAGAAAGAAAAAAAGAAGACCTCCACAGAAATTGTTTGATGTAGATGCTATAAGGTACAGAATGATCAAAATGTTTATTGTTAGTGAAAATTTTCTGAATGTTTTGTTCTTTCGCTCAAAAATAGATGTTTCACAGAAAAATAAATATTTAGGAATGATAAGCACTTCTTTCTGATTTCAGGGCTATTGGGGGAGAGGTGACAAGTGATGGAGATTTCTTACTGTTTGAGAATAACCGCTACACAAGGAAGGGATTTCTGTTCAAAAGCTTTGTCATGTCAGCAATCGTAAGTGCAGGATAGTGCATTAATAACTGCAAAAATAATTCCTCATTTTAAAAAAAAATAATTTCTAAGGCTTGTGACTGTATCAAGTTTGCCTTTATTAAGAAGGATATGTTCTGATATTTTCAAAATTTAAAATCAACTGATAAATATTCAAGGGAACTGAGTGAGGATTTGATTTTGGAGATTTAATGGGAAAATATTTTTTACTTGATTTTTGGACAGATTGCAGAAGGAGTCAAGCCAACCTTGGCAGAGCTGGAGAAATTTGAGGATACACCAGAGGGAGCAGAAGTAGAGTGTAATTAAAATTTATCTCACCTAATTAAAAATAGATTTTTCTTTTACAATTTAATGCTGTATATCATTATTTGAGTAATTTAATTTTGCATGGCATTATATTTTTAGGAAATTGAATTGGAAATTAAATGATGTATAATACATGTAATGTAATATCGATTTTGTTTGTTACACTACATTCACTAAATGTTTTTCTGAATCAATTCATTTTAAATACAAGGATTTATAGGTAAACTAAATTAATATTAGTGAAATAAATATAATGCATCCTGAACTCTCTCTAGTGCCAGAGAAGCAGCAAGGGGAGGTAAATCATAACTTTGTCCCCGGTGATGTGGTGGAGGTGTGTGAGGGGGAGTTGGTCCACCTCCAGGGTAAGGTCATCGGTGTGGACGGCAACAAGATCACAATGCTGCCAAAACATGAGGACCTTCGGGATCCTCTGGAGTTTATGTCACATGAGTTAAAGAAACACTTCAAGATGGGAGACCATGTGAAGGTCTTGTCTGGGCGATATGAAGGGGACACTGGGCTGATAGTTCGTGTGGAGGATAACCTTGTTGTACTGTTCTCAGATCTCACAATGCACGAGGTATGATATTCTACCTTGAATTTTTAAACACAGTGTAAATTGCATTATTATATCAATTATTCATTGTATCAGGCTGGAACCTCTCTACTTCGCAGTTTGATGAAAACTAGGCACGTAGTCTATCTCAGTATAAGTGTGCTCCATATTACAGAATTCAAAGTTGAATATAGATTGTTTAAGACCACAAAATAATGTAAAATCTTTCTGAAGTTGCACAGATATCATCATTACCTTTTACTAATTTCTCAGTTCTGTGTTTTCTTTTCACAAAAGAAGATAAAAATAAATAAATTTCCCTGTGAATTTTCTTCAGATGAAAGTTTTGCCCAGAGATCTGCAGTTGTGCACAGATATGGCTACAGGAGTGGATTCTTTAGGACAGTACCAGTTCGGAGACCTTGTTCAGATAGAGTGAGTCATGTCTTGCAAAAATGTACAAAAAAAACTAATTCTGTCGATACCAGTGGCTTCATAACTTTAGTGTCTATTTATTTTTTGTCAACATTGTAAATGTTTAGAACTTTAATGAAATATTCATATAAGCCCCACTATGATTTACTTGTATTTTTGAAAAAGAGAAAATGCACTTCTTTTAAAATGATCATTCTTTTTTCCTTGACAGTCCACAAACTGTTGGAGTCATTGTTAGATTAGAGAAAGAAAATTTCCAGGTTCTGTCCATGCACAACAAGGTAACTTAAAGATTGTAACTATCAGCATAAATTGTGAAGAAATGATCTATTTTTGGCAATGCTGTTTAGGTTGTAAAACTAAAATTTAAATGGATATTCCAAATCTGCAATGTTGTAATAAACTGTTGCTTATTATGGCCACTAAATTTAACTTGCAGATACTCAACTTAAAACCAGCAGCGGTTACAAGGAAGAGGGACACAAAATATGCTGTTGCCTTGGATTCAGAAAACAACAGCATTCAGGTCAAGGACGTCATCAAGGTCATAGATGGACCTCACTCGGTAAACATTTTACATAGCAACTAAAATTTTCAAAAAGGAAAAAAAAACAGAAAACTGATAAAGTTGAGTTTTCAAATACAGTGTGTGTGATGTGATTAGACTCGCATACCAGAGTGACATTAGAACTGCAAAGAAATGTTCATATTTGTCACGAGTTTTATTCATCAAAGAATACATACATGTATCTATGTAAAATATTTAACCTTCATTATTTTGAAATGGCCATATTTTTTCCTTTATGTCATGTTTATGATTGGGTCCCAGTTCTACTGATTTCAGTTTTGTTTGTCTAGGGTCGACAAGGAGAGATAAAACATCTGTACAGAAGTTACTGCTTCCTGATGTCTAGGACAATGACAGAGAATGGAGGTTACTTTGTGTGTAGGACAAGGCATGTTGTGCTAGCTGGAGGATCAAAGGTAGGATATGACAGAGAATGGGGGTTACTTTGTGTGTAGGACTAGGCATGTGGTGTTAGCTGGAGGATCAAAGATGTGTAGGTTTAGGCAGGAAGGGAGTGAAAAGTAAAAGTCAAAATTACACTTGTGTTGTACACAGGATGTTCTTTCAGTAGTGTCTATGAATTAATTAATGATCAGATGGCTTTGTTTTGTACAGTATAACATGAATTTATTATTTCTTTGCTTAAAATATCTTTTGCTTTTGTACAATTTTGTTTTATAAAGAGTGAAAGAATAAAGTGAAAAACTAATCTTTCTTTTTTTTTTCAGGGAACAAACAGAGCTCAGTTGGGAGTGACAGGATTTGCTCCAATGTCTCCCCGGTTATCCAGCCCAGCCCATCCTGGGGGTGGGGGAGTGGGTGGAGCTCCTGGTGGAGGAGGTGCAACACCAGGGAGGGGCAGAGGAGGAAGTGGCCTCAGCAAGAGGGACAGAGACCTTATTGGAACTACAGTCAGAATCATCCAAGGGCCTTTCAAAGGTAGGGTCTTAGTGAACTGTTAATGAAATGAATTATTAGAACATTTAGACAGATACAGTATTTATCTGCATTTTATCTACAGTTGAACTTGGGTATCTCAAGAATGGATGTATCAGAAACTTGGTATATGTATATAGTGAGTCGGCAGTGTTATTCTCGTAAAGTAAATAGAATCTAATCTCTGATATGTGGAGCTCCTCAATATTTCAAAGAAACTAACATTTTACAGTAAGATATTGAGGTTTGACTGTGATTCTCTTGTGTAACCTGTATTAGATTCAAGTGAAACTCTTGTTCAAAACCATGGTTTCTTTCTCTTGCTCCCAGGTTACATTGGAATTGTCAAAGATGCCACAGATTCAACAGCTCGAGTGGAACTTCACTCCAGCTGTAAGACCATATCAGTGGACAGAAGTCGTCTCAGCAATCTCGTGTAAGTGTCATTTTGTCTCAAATTGTTTTCTTTTACATGTACATTACAAGCAATTAAACGTAACAAAATTCTTTTCTTTACCTTGAACCTGACTGTTTAGTTGTTAAAAAAATAAGACTTTATATTTCTTCATGACTTACCGTAATTTGATGTTGAATGATTTCAGTGGTGGTCGGTCTGTGGGATCAGCTGCTACTCCTGGTGGTCGCACACCAATGCATGGTTCCCAGACTCCCATGTATGGATCCCGTACACCTATGTATGGTTCACAGACTCCACTACATGATGGAAGTAGGACTCCTAACTATGGCAGTATGACACCCCTACATGAGCCTGGCAGCAGGACTCCAGGACAGAGTGCCTGGGATCCCACTAATCCCAACACACCTACCAGGTAAGGGGCAATGGTGGGAATTTTAGAATTTTGAATGTAATCGAAATAGACAGGAAGGAAAAATATCATTGCAGGCATTGTCAATTTTTGCACAATTCTGGGGCAGTGTAGTGTACAGAAGTCTTATTTTATCTACAAGTACTTTATATTTTCAGGAATAATGACTTTGATTACCACTTTGATGATAACCCCTCACCTGGGGATTATGGTGGAGCCACCCCAAATCCAGGTACACCTGGATATTCAGCAGACACTCCCAGTCCCAGGGGACCCTTCACACCACAAACCCCAGGGACAAGCTATTCCCCTTATGCACACCCTTCACCTTCACCGGGAAGTTACTCAGGTAAATCAAAAATCTTATTGAAAGAAAAAAATGTATATCTTGCTTCAAAATTATACATGTATCTGTAAATTGGTCATTCGTTAATCCGAGATTCCTCTGACTCTAGCCCCTGCTTTTATATTTTGACATGTGCAGGGGAGAGTCAGAGCGGAGGCCATATTGAAAAGTGGGAATTCAGCGACACCAGCTGGTGTCGCGACTCTGCCTACCTTTTACAACTTTATTTCGCAGATCTAACTTCCGAGACGCGAGAAATTAGTAAAGGGATGATTCTTCTCCAACTTAATCATCACTAATACGACGCTATCGCCATCTGAACAGCACTATCACCGACAAATGAAGCATCACTTGAATTAGGTCCCCTCCTCGCCATTCGATTTCTTTGCGCATGACGTCAGCACACAAATACACAAAATTCCAATCGGTTTCGAACTAACACATGGTCAAAACACGTGTGGAGTTTTCGCAAAAACATGAGGGTGTGGTGAAAAAGCACAGAAAACAACAGAATGATGTTACATTTATTTACTGATAAGTGGCCTCTATGCTCATATGAGAAAAAAATTGGCAGCATCACCACACATGATTTGTTCATGTGATAGTTTGTTTGTGTATGTGTGTGCTGACATCATGCGCAAAGAAATCGAATGGCGAGGAGGCGACCTAATTCAAGTGATGCTTCATTTGTCAGTGATAGGGCCGTTCAGATGGCGATAGCGTCGTATTAGTGATGATTAAGTTGTAGAAGAATCATCCCTTTACTAATTTCTCGCGTCTCGGAAGCTAGATCCGCGAAATAAAGTTGTAAAAGGTAGGCAGAGTCGCGACACCAGCTGGAGTCGCTGAATTCCCACTTTTCAATATGGCCTCCGCTCTGACTCTCCCCTGCACATGTCAAAATATAAAAGCAGGGGTTAGAGTCAGAGGAATCTCGGATTAGTCATTCGTTAGCGTATTCATAGTATGTATGGTAATGGCCTTTGGTATTGAATCATTCTTAAAAGCTATAACTGACAGATGTTTCTCTATGTTGACACCTGCAAGTGTTATTTATTCTTTCATAACATTTCAGCACCCAGTCCAGGATTCGGAGGTGCTTCACCTAGTCCCATGGGATATCAACCCTCCCCTTCAAACACCACCCCTTCACCTCTGAGTTACAGTCCAATGACTCCTGGTGGAGCTCCTTTTACCCCGGGGACAGGAATGGACCAAAGCATGGCTGATTGGCACACCACAGAAATTGAGGTCAAGATCAAAGAAACACACGATGACCACAAGTTGATACACCAGACAGGCATCATTCGCAGTGTTACAGTGAGTATAGACTTAAAGCTGCGAAATTTGCTATAGATGTACCAAATCTCTTTCAAAACAGTGGATTTAAATTCCCTCTCTGTGGTAAATTGCATGACAATTTCATAGTAAAGAGATGTGTATAGTATAAAATTCTGTGAATTTTTGAAAACTCTTAACTCAATGTAAATATGTACTGCATGTATAAAATACATTTTGTGGTACCTTGTCAAAGAATAATTAAACATGTCTACTGAGTGATCTGTAACTAGATGCAATTGTTCTCTTGTAGGGAGGCATGTGTTCATTATTCATACCAGAAGAAGATAAAGTGGTCAACATTGCATGTGAGCATCTGGAGCCTGTTCCACCAGAGAAGGGAGATAGGGTCAGTTTTCCGTCAAGGGTTCCCCAATTTTTGGAACATCCAAAAGGAGATTTGATACATTTTGTTTTATTCTAGTTCAGTTTAAGGATGAGTTATTTCTTCTAGGAGAAAAAACTCAGAAATTGAAAATTCTTTGCTCTATAAAAAAAATTCATATTTATTCATATTTTGGAATGATTTGTCTCAACCATCTGTTAAGAATTGTTTTGATTACAGAAAAAATTCATTGATCATTTTCCCTTAAGCATTATCTTTTAATGACTAGCTAATCATCCAGTTAATTTCTGTAACTGACAGATGTTAAATAGATTATAACATTTATAACCATAATGAACTTCATCAAATAAATCACTGAAATTTTTATACAGGCCAAAGTGATTCTGGGCGAAGAGAGGGAGCTGATGGGATCACTACTGAGTATAGATGGAACAGAAGGTGTAATCAAAACAGACAATGGAGTCATTAAAATGTTACCCATCAATTATCTCTGTAAGGCTGGCAACTGATGCTAGAGAGACAAAGGCAGTGTTACAAATGTGAAAGAAATATCTAAGCTGTTGGCAGGCAGTAAGGAAAAGAGGAAGAATTTCTTGGGTGTGAAGATCAACATTATTCCAGGATTTTTCTTTTAGCTTTGCACAAGCAGTGTTTTTGTATCTCATTAAAAACAATTGAGGGAGGGGGTCTCCTTGTCATCATGTTTTATCAGGAGTTGATAAAGACATACACTGTTTGTCATTTCATCCCTTGAATGCTTTGTATTATTACTGTCAACAAAACATTTGTTAAAGATGTCATATTTACAATTCATAGTTTATTGATCTTGTGTCAAATCTAGAATGCTTTTAACAGAATTTTTCAGTGTTTTGGAAACAGATAATACCGTAAGTTTTGGGGTATATGTCGATGGGTTATATAGGTCGAAAGGCTCATTTTCAGCCGTAATTTTTAAAAAATCCTTAGATAGGACGATTTGGAAGATAGGACGAGGCTTTGTTTATCGACTTTTTAGATATTCTTACATAGAAACTACGTATCAGAACATGTAAAGGTTTTTAACTTAACCCGTGATATTAACGTATGAAGAAAATAAACTGGTATTTTTATGAGTACAGCATTTTAATAGTGTTTTATACAAACATAGTTAAAACTTCCTAGAATTGTGATATAACGTATTTTCTCCAACTTGCCTGTTCAACGCCGTCGTTGTTTGACTCTGTCGTTAAACACATAAATACGGTAGTATACAACAGCTATAATTAGGGAAATACCCGAAATCAAACAATAATCATTTCCATTTTAGAACATCGTGGACACATTCTTTTATTCCGACATTATTTACCGGGGTACAATACTAAGTGCGATGACCGCCATTTTTATATTTCTTGTCCAGGGATTTGCTAAAACACGCAAATGACTATTACATGTAACAGTGCGCAAATGAAATTAATCATATTAATATGCTATAATTTTGCTTGAGATATTGTTGTAAAAATAAATTTAATTGAGAGTACATTAGCAATTTAACAGTCATCAGGAATTTCACAGTTTTGTTTGTTCAATGATGTATAGCCCTAATACCCCTGCAACGGCACGTGGATCCGTTAATCACGCCCCGCAGGTGTTTAAACCAACAGGTGTTAACACCTTCGTGTACACAGTGTATATCTCTCTATCTGTCAGACAATTAAAATTCTATTAGAAGCCAATCTTTGTATAATTCGGTGTACCCCTTGGGATATAAAACAGAATAGTTATGACTAGCGGTATATTTGGTAAATAATTTTAGGAATTTACTGGCAACAATTTATTTCACACATTTTACATTTAAATAAATATCACAAGACAATGAAAAATATTTAGGTGTAGTATTTAAATTAATCGTTACAAATAAATGGTAAAAAAAAAATACAATTGCGATTGTGAAAACTCCTCCGTATTTTAAACTGATACGGTTGCGGTTTTATTTTTAGTAAACGATTGCGACTTCCAACTTCACAAGATGGACACAGCATGTTGTAAATATACTTTGAGACATTATTGATGATATAATAAGTTTTTTTGTACATCGACGGATATTTAATGAACTTTTTTTGTAAGAAATCAATGGAATAAATATTTAATTCTTTATTGTTTATTATTTTTTTCTCGGTAAAGTAATTTTAAAAAATACGAAAATGGCACAGATTTGCTTTAAAATTGACGTAAATTTTACTGATTTTGGGGCATTTTTCGTAAACTTGGGCCTTAGATAGGTCGATTCGTTAAATAGGACGACCCCAGCGGTTCTGAGAAAAAAAGTATCGTCCTATCTTCCAAAACTTACGGTAAAAAGTGTGAATCACGAGTGTTTATGTTATAATTTTATAATTTGTTGCAATAAGTTCCAAGGACACCCTCTGTGATATCTCAATAGAGGAGAAAGTAACAATATGAAAATAAGTGAACCACCAGCATTACTGGAAAGGATTTCCTCATAGCGGATGTTGCATACAATTATTTTATTTCATGCAAAGTGTGAAGAATAAGAACCAGGGGTCCGTTTTACAAAAGAACTTGCGACTACAACCAAAACCTTTAGTTGATTGTAAGATTTTGCAAAATTAATGATTTTGTAAATTGCCAGCGTAAAAATATCTTAAAGCATTCCTTTTAAAAAGATTAAATCCATTTTCAATATAATGTAAATTACATGTAGAAACTTGTGAACAAAATTAAATTTTGGTCTTAGTCATAAGTTCTTTTGTAAAACGGGCCCCTGTACTGTATCTTCATTTTTAGCTCTACTGGTCAGAGACCAGAAGAGCTTATGCGATAGTAAGGTGTCCGTCGTCCGTCTAGCTGTCTGTCCGTCTGTAAACAATTTTTCAAAACGCTTCTCCTCCTACAGTTTTGGTCTGATTTCAATATAACTTGGCACATAAGTAGACTACACCAAGATACATAATTCTGTTTATCGGTTTTTAGCCCTACTGGTCAGAGACCAGAAGAGCTTATGTGATAGTAAGGTGTCCGTCCATCTGTCTGTCCGTCTAGCTCTCAGTCTGTCCCTGTGTCTGTAAACAATTTTTCAAAACGCTACTCCTCCTACAGTTTTGGTCTGATTTCAATATAACTTGGTACACAAGTAGACTACACTAAGATTCATAATTTAGTTCATCCGTTTTTAATTTCGATGAACGGTGTTGCCATGGTTACTGAAATTAGAAATTTCTGTGTACATGTAATTCCTTTAAAACACTACTCCTCCTACAGTTTTGGTCTGATTTCAGTATAACTTGGCACACAAGTAGACTACACTACGATACATAATTTAATGCATCAGTTTTTTATTTTGATGAACGGTGTTGCCATGGTTACTAAAAATAGAAATTTCTGTGAAATTAATTTAAAAGGCTACTCCTACAGTTTTGGTCTGATTTCAATATAACTTTCACACAAGTAGACTACACAATGATACTTAATTCAGTGCATCGGTTTTTGATTTCGATGACCAGTGTTGCCATGGTTACTAAAAATAGAAGTTTTTGTGAAATTCCTTTAAAACGCTACTCCTCCTACAGTTTTTGTTTGATTTCAATATAACTTGGCACACAACTAGACTACATTAAGATACATTATTCTATTTATTGCTGCATGTTGCAGAGTTTCAAATCCAAGTGCTACTTTTCCTTTGTTATATGTACAGACCAGAAGAGCTACAGTCTCATCAGAGACTTCTGGTTGATTTCAATGAATGGTGTTGCCCTGGTTACTAAAAATAGAGATTTCTGGGAAATACTTTCAAAACACTACTCCTCCTACAGTTTTGATCTGATTTCAATATAACTTGGCACACAAGTAGACTATAATAAGATACATAATTCTGTGTATCGGTTTTTGATTTCAATGAACGGTGTTGCCATGGTTACTAAAAATAGAATTTCTGTGAAATACTTTCAAAACGCTACTCCTCTTTCAGTTTTGATCTGATTTCAACGTACATGTAAATTGGCACACAAGTAGACTATACTAAGATACATAATTCTTTTTATCGGTTTTTGATTTCAATGAACAGTGTTTCCATGGTTACTGAAAATAGAAATTTCCTTGAAATACTTTCAAAATGCTACTTCTACAGTTTTGGTCTGATTTTAGTGTAACTTGGCACACAAGTAGACTACACTAAGATACATAATTCTCTTTACCAGTTTTGGATTTCGATGAACAGCGTTGCCATGGTTATTAAAAATAGAATTTCTGGGAAAAAACTTTCAAAATGCTACTCCTACACTTTTCGTCTGATTTCAGTATAACTTGGCATACAAGTAGACTACACTGACATACATCATCTTTATTGTTTTTTGATTTTGTTGAATGATATTGCCATGGTTAATTAAATGGAAATTTCTGTAAAATTGTTTGAAAAGGCTACTCCTCCTACAGTTTTAGGCTGATTGCAATAAATCTTGCCACAAAAAGAGACAAAACCAAGGATCATTATTCTACTTATTGCTGTTGCAAAGTTTCAAGTCCAAGTGCTACTTTTATCTTCCTTTATAAGTACAACCAGTAGAGCTACGATCTCGTCAGAGACTTCTGGTTAAAGAAGTACCGTTGAACTTCAGTATCTTGAATATCAATATCTTGAACACCATGGATGTGTCGAACTCATTTGGAAGTCCCAACCTCATTTTCTATATGAATGTAAACTTCAAAATTCCTCCGATATCCCAAAAAGTTTTTTTCTTGGTCCCAGCAAGTTCCAGATATGGTTTGAAAGTACTTGAGAATTATACCTCTAAGACCATGTCATGTGGGTCTCGATCCTAATTTATAGACAATACGAATTTGCATGTAAAATTTTAAGTCATTTAAGTACATGTCAGTTTGCTGTTCGGAGACTGTGGAAACTCTTTTATGTTATTCAAGAAAGCAAAACAAGCCATATGTTTAATCAAAATCTGACCTTATCTCTAAAAGTCATGGTAGACAAGGTGTCAAAAATTCAGAGTTCAAATGTCAAGGTCACAACTCTTTAAGGTTTGATTACAAAGGCTCAAATTTGAAAAGTGATAGGACCTAAATGAAGGCCATATAGTCAGGGTCACCAAAATTGGTACCAATTTTGACAATGTATTGTACGCAACCTATTGTAATGCAGAGGTAGCAATCATTAAAAAAAAACATTTACTTAATGAATGACTAGGGAGAATTACATAAAAATTTGGTCATCTTAATTTGATCAAGGTCAGTTATTTGATTCATATGTAACATTTTTACACAGTCTTCAACTTTGTATGATGCTGTCATGATCTCTTTAGAAAAGGGGATATCTACAGACTTCAAAGCATTAAAATATTTCATCAGCCATGACACTGTATGTTAAATGTGAAGTCAGGAAAGTGAAGTAAATTCAAAATTTCCATGATTTATTGAGAAAAAGCTGTATAGGAAGAAGGAAAACTTTCAAGGATGAACCTAAAATGGGTTGAAATATTCTTCATGTAAATTAAGTGTGAATTTTTTTCATAATCTTCCGATGAAGATCAGGGCCAAGGTGACTCAGATGAGCATTGTGGCCTATGGGCTTTTTTTTTTTTTTTTTTTTTTTTTAAAAATCTTCTTCAGCAGAATAGCAAGGTCATGAGAGTTATATCAACACTGAAGTGTCTCCATATCATGAGGATTCAAATTTAGTTATGTAATGACCCCTTGGGACTAAGGTGTGATCACACTATAGGTTAAAATTTTTCATGGAAATGCAGCAGGAAAACTTAAACATAGGTAATCAAAGATTACGAAGCTCACCTCGACGAATGTTATCTATAAGTAAGGCAAATTTCACATCATATTTTTTTTCTAGTTGGGAACATCCCAAGATCAATATCCTTGCAAGTTTG